CAAGATACTATTTAACTAACTTTTTTTTGTAAAGGTCTCAAGTAATAATATGATATATATGGGCTGTTATTTTTAATAAAAATGAATAAAATTTTCATATTTATTCTTTAAAATATGCTCAGTCATCTCAGTAGGAAATTTTTATTTTTTAGTTTATGAAACATTTATTTTGTGCACTTAAAAAGTTTGGGGATTCAGAAATAGCTATTATAATATGTGCTTCTGCTATTTTTGTCCTAGTCTCAAATCCAAGAACTACTAAAAATGTCAAGTGGATTGATGGGAAATGAAAATAAGGAACTATTTTTGGCTAGATTATGAAGCCAGTTTTTAAAATGGAAAGATTCAGATGATAATCAATTCTTTGCAATATTAATATCATGGAGTTTTAGATAATACTCAGTATGTGAGAGCAAATATAGTTAATTTAGAGGATCATCACTGTTTATTGAAAACTCATTTCATCCCAAATTTATAGATTCACATATTCCCAATTTTCATAAATCCTTCATAATCCCTCAACTAATTTCACGTCTCTCTTGACCACCATCGAAGTGCTAATATTTTTTATGTAAATAATAAATATGACAGACTACCTCCAAAAAGCTGACAGAGAAATTATTAGTCTCACTATTGCAAATCAAGGTAGAATGTAATTAGTCTGCTGCCATTAAATAGTCAAGTCTACCCCTTCTAGCCATCACTAAGTAAGAAAAGTTGTTGCTGGGGATAACAAATTAGAGGAATATGTGACCCAAGAAAGAAAGAAAGAAAGAAAGAAAACTAGAAATCTAGAATAAAACAATAAAAAACCAAAACCTGGACCTAAAAGTTGATATTTATCTACTGACTGCTCTCCTCATGTTCATTTGTACATAAACTTAATATATGTATATGTATATTTGTATAGTATACTACGCATATTAATTGAAACTCCCTGAATGAATGAATGTTGAATATTTTGCCTTATTGTATTACCTTATTTAACTGTTTAATGTATGTGCTATGTCACTCTAAAACAATTATAAATTCAGCAAAAGTAGGGACCATGCAGTCTACCTATTTTTCTATTTTTCCATTTTAAATGAAAATCAATGGAAATAGTCTTATTAAAGAAAATTTTGAGAAAAAGAAAAAAGTAATCTAAGATAACATCCTATCACAACTTATTTTTGCATATTTTTATTTTCTAATCCTTGCCCATATAAAAATATTTTACATGATGGAAATAATTTGGTATATCTAATTGTACACTTTAAAAACTTAATTCATTATAAATATTTCTAAGTTTTAACAGTGGCATAATATTCTATCCTATTAATATACCATAATTTTATTAAACATGAATTTACTGGATAATCACAATATCTCTTTATTCTATTGTTTCATATGTAGACTATTTCCAATTATTTTCTCTCATACATAATGTTGCAATCAAAATGTTCATTTATATAGTGTATTGAGTAGTATAAAACATCAGCTTAGGATGTATTCTTATAATAAATGTTGCTTAATCAAAGGAATGCATGTCTTTACTGGCCTTGCTATATATATATATTTCATATTCTTTCCCAATTTTAAATACCATCAACCTGGATATATGATAACATTTTCAGCACTAGGCATTACAGTATTTTAAATGTTGACAGCATATATTTTATATAGTTATGATCTCTATATTTCCTAGTACAATGAATTGCTCAGCAGTAGTGAACACATATTAAATATATATTACATGAATATGAGGTATCTCACACTATTAGACAGAGAAATGAGATGATAGCAAAGGAAATTATATTAATAATCAGGGGAAGAAAATGCTGTATAAGGGAAAATATTTCAAAGAGAAATGCCCAACCATGACAAACACACAACAATAAAGAAGAATGAAAAAATATCATTAACAACCATAGATATATTACAAAAGTGAGATTAGAAGAAAAATTTTAATGTATTTAAAGTGCTTAGAACAGTATTTGGCATGCTATACAATTGTTTGGTATGATGATGAACTTGATTGTATGTTTTAAGTTGTTTACTCCTCTAAAGAATTCTGTGAGTTAGGTATTATATATGTTGATGCCACTTTTTTTAAAGATTTTATTTATTTATTTGAGAGAGTGGGAGTGGGGGGGGCACACAAGTGGGGGAGTCGACAGAGGGAGAAGCAGACTGAACAGGGAGCCCGATGTGGAGATTGATCCCAGGACCCCAAGACCATGACCTGAGCCGAAGGCAATGCCTAACCGACTGAACCATCCAGAAACCCCCATTGATGCCATTTTATAGATGGGGAAACTGAAGCTCAGAGCCATTAAGTAACTTGCTCTATGTATGTGGTAGATCCAAAGTTCTGAATCCAAAACAATGCCTTTAACAATTGCACTAATCTGTCCCTTGTGAAAGAAAGTTATTGATTAGATAAGGGAAAGAACATCTTGAAATCAACAGAGTACATTAAAAAGTGCAGAAATCAAGAAAAGTTGCAATGCAAATAGAATAGTTTAGGGAGTTTACACCTCACAGTGTCAGTCTAAGCATAGTGTGATGAAAATTCTTCTCTAAGTAAACTAAGTACTTTTACTTCTCTAAGTAAAGGAAAATTAGGTAGAAGATTTTGGTTTAAGAAGGAGGAAAAAATAATGAACAGCCATGGTGGGGAAAGAATCATGGATTTAATTAATTCCTTCATTCAAGAAATATTTACTGAAGCCATACGATGAGTCAGACTTTAAACACTAGGATTAAAGCAGTAAAGCACACACACACACACACACACACAGTTTCTATGCTGATAAATAGGGAATAAGGGCTAAAAAATAAGAAAGAAGTAAATAAATACACACACACACACGATAGGATATGGCAATGGTGAAAAGTGCTAAAAAGGATAAATAAAGCAAAGAGTTTAAAGAGTGCTGGTGGTTGCGGGGAAAGAGTTCTGTTTTAAACAGGGGGATCATAGATAAGTCTCTCTGATGAGATGGTATGTGAGCTTAAAGCTAACAGAAATAAAAGCATGAATCATGCACATAATGCATAAATATTCACCATACTCCTACAAAACCATGCAAAGTCACCCAAAAGCCCAAAATTTGGTCTTGACAGGCAAGAAGAGAATAAAGCAAGGACTCAGAGGCAAGTGCCTTTATTGAGGGTCATAGGTGGGGGAGCTTGTGGCATGTGGGAAGCATTCTTATTGGGTAATGAATGTAACTGGGTCAACATGGAAAGAAGGAAAGGGGTAAAATGGGGAAGTTATCATGAAACTTATTGCTGGAACACACATATTGGGGATGGGTCTCAGAAATGAACCATGGCTCCATAAAAGTTCAAAACAAGCAGGACAAGTGTCAATACTCAGCGAGTCATTGAGACAATTAGCTGCTTTTTATTTGATGCATATTAAACTTAAGATAGCTATTAGACCTCCATGTAATGGAGTTGTAGAGTAGACAGTTGGAAATATGAGTGTGGTGTTCAGAACTGAAGTCTTGGGTGAAAATATTAATTTAGGAGCTATCAGTATATATGGGGTATTTAGAGTCAAAGTATGAGATTATTAAGAAAGTGGGTGCAGACATAGAAAAGAAATCCAAGAGCTTCTGTACTGATTCCTGGGAAATCCCAATTTAGGGCTGGGATTAAGGTAAAGCAAGTGAGGCATTCACTCTGGGCACAAAATTTCAGGAAGCACCAGAAAAAACCCCTCAACAATGAAGAAAAACAATTTTAAAGCAATATTTTTTTAAAAAATCAAAATTAATACAAAAATCTTTAATGAACAAAATATCAAAATTGTAAGTAAAGATAGAATCAGCATTACTAATTTTCCTCTTTGCTTCAGGTTTCAATATGGCTTGTCAGGGCCCCAGTTCATAGGTCTGAAAGATGAGGGAGAAAAGACAAAGCAGATTTAAAGCTGTCTTCACTTGACTGAGTTAAACTGTAGAGGAGGGACATATACATACAGAGGATCATTTATGCTGCATTGGATCAGGTAAAATCTGTCAGACCGAACACAGCAATAATCTTTAACTTTATAATTTTGAAGCTTTAACAAGGGGGCTTGATGATTGATAAATTTTACCATATAAAAATTAAAATATGTAGAAAAAGAAAACATTAATAGAATCAGGGGACAAATGAAAAACTAAGGGGGAATGCAACATTTGTAACAAACTTCCAGTTATGAAATAGATAAGTCACAGAGATGAAAAGTACAGTATAGGGAATATAGTCAATAATAAAATAATGTTGTATGGTGACAGATGGTAACTACACTTATGGCAGAGAGCATTGCACAATGTATAGAATTGTAGAATCACTGTTGCACACTAGAAACTAATATAACATTGTATGTCAACCATACTTTAAAAATAAAAATTAAAAAATGATAATATTTTTAAAATAATAAAAAATAAAGATTTCTTACATCAGAAAAAGATGAATAAGTTTTATATATATACATATATATATATCTCATTTTATATATATATGTATAAAACTTTCATATTTATTAGTCAAAATATGCAAAGATGTATGGGCATTAATTTTCTTTGCAACATTTTTATAATGGTTAAAAACTTGAAACTCTCAAAGAATATGTTTGTATTTGTGAGTGTATATATTTGTATATGCATACACACACACATACATACACAAACACCTATGATACATACATACACACAAATTATATCTATAAACAGTGTATGGTATATATATTTACTGTTTTGTATATATATACACACACAAGTATAGATATATACACACAAATATGGTATATGACATATATGTGTGTATAAACATATACAAATACTTAGAGAACATAGAATAATAGACAACCATTAAAAAGGATGAATTAAATCTATATGTGTGGATGAGAAAAGATATTGGGTAAAAAATCAAAGCTTATTACAGTCTATAGAATACATTACTATTTCCATAAATAAAAAAGAATTGCATCATATGCATTTAAACTGGGATGAATGTTTAATCTGTGTAAGTATGTGCAAGAAATTTTTTTTTTTCCTCAAGAGTACATTCTTTAATAGGACTCTATTTGAATAAGAATTCCATACAAATAGAATATATACTTAACACAAGAAAGCAAGGAAAGATTTTACATTACACAGAACAGACATTCAGTTGGTTCAATCATGGGTGAATTACCCTTCCAACCAAATACTTATTTTTTATATTTATTACAAATATTGCAGTCCAGTATATGCCAACAATCACACAGTTTTAACATTTAGTAGCATGAAGCACACTTAACTGTTTCCAAAGGGATATGTGATGTAGTCTTCATTTCACAGGGGTAGAAGTGATTGAATTACTGTCTGCTCTTTAACGTTTCAACTAACCATTCCACTGCCTCATCAAGGCCAGTGCCTTTGGTTGCTGAAGTTTTGAATATTTGCCATTTTCGGTCCTTCAATGCAGGTAACCCAAGTGAATTTGCCATCTCTGAGGGAGTCATGGCCTGTTCCATGTCCTGCTTATTTGCAAACACCACTAAAATGGCTTTTCTCAGTTCTTCTTCCTCCAACATGGCAACTAACTCTGATTTGGAAATGCCAATTCGGTCTCGGTCACAACTGTCTACTACATAAATGACTGCATCTGTGTTTAAATAATAACATCTCCAGTATGGCCTGATACTGGTTTGTCCTCCTAAATCCCAGACTTGAAATTTAAGGTTCTTGTATGTTACTGTCTCAACATTAAATCCAATAGTAGGAATAGTAGTAACGACTTCTCCAACCTGTAATCTGTATAAAATTGTAGTTTTTCCTGCTCCATCTAATCCCAAAATTAAAATCCTCATTTCCCGGGTTCCAAACAGACTGGAAAAAATACTTGAGAAAAAGCCACCCATGATGAACCGCCTGTCCGCCCTTATCGGTGGTGAGAGACAGGCCCCCGGCCTTGGCAGCGACTCCTATTCGAGCCTCGGCGCCGCCACCTCTGCTCGCCTTGGCCTACGGCTCCGGCTCCGGCTCTCTGGCGGATCCCTGGAAAGTCCGGTCCGCCAGCAACTTCCACGTCGGATTCCCGGCGGGGGTGGGAGCCTGTGCAAGAAATTTTAAGAGTATTAACCTTAGAAGATCAAAACTAGAAAGAAGGGAGGCTTTTATTTTTCATTATATCTGTCTGTACTGTTTAAATTCTATGTCGATGAGCATATAATATGTTTTGTAAATGTCACAGGTGGTAGAATTATGGGATTTTTGTTTGTTTGTTTCCAAGATATAAAAGTAAATCTAATTCAAGTTTTATAAATGTCATAGGTGACAAATTACTTGCAATAGAAATTGAGTGCCATACCTTGGTTAAAAGGAGGTGATACACGTGTCCTACAACTTGATATATGAAAAACATGAGTTTATAAAACTGCTATATTAGTGAATAAGGCTTTGTTTTACAACTAATTTACCATAGATTCATTGAAATAATCACGACAAATTGCTTTGGATGATTTTCTTTATAAAATTCAATTTCTGTGTGGTATCAAATTATAGATAGAAACAATTTTTGTCATCCTAGGGATATGTTGATTGCATAGAACAAGGCAACTAATAGGACATTTCTTCTCTTGAGATAGATTTGCTCTAAAATAATACATTTCACATAAATAATGGTTTTTGTTACAGCATTTACACTTTGAAACTTATTTAATATTTTTATCAAATTTTCTTTAAATGTAGTTTTAAAGTGCTTTCAACATATATGCAATTTTCCTAATGTCCTGGGATGTTTGATTCTTTCTTGCAACTATAGTTTAATCTGGAAATAGTTGCAGAATGATTTGATTTATAGAAATATACTTGATAGCTGATTTTATTAAGGATGAACTCAGAAGTTACAGTGTTTCAGGTCAAATATCAGGATACCACCTAGTATCTGTGTGACCTTGGATAAGTGACTTAGACTCTGTGCCTCAAATTTCTCAGTTGTAAAATGAGAATAACTGTCCATGACTCAATAGGCTTGTTGTGAGGATCAAATGGTTTGGTGTATGTAAAGTGTCTGGAATAGTATGTAACATAAAGTAGGCAATAAATGTGTTAGTTATTGTTGTATTTGCAAGGGTATTATATACCCTTGGGAAAAAAGTATAGAGAACTTAGGGAAAAAGAGGCAACAATTCAGAGTAAAACATGATTACAAATGTATATCTAGGACTTTCATTCATAAACTACATTTAAGTTATGCATTGTTGCTGTATAAAGTAGACACAGGACTGGGCTGCTAAATTATGGTGCAGCAATATGCTATGCTAAATTAGGAGTCAAGAAAAACAAAAGAATTTGGTCCACTTTGTCGCTGTCTCCAAAGCAGTACAGCTTTGTACAAATAACATACCCTCACTGAGCTTGTTTCCTCATCTTTAAAATGAAAAACATGTGTTAGATCAGCCTGCAATGTGCTTTCAGGCTCAAAATTATCCTAACCCTTTAGTCATTGATTAAATAGTCAATGCATGAAACTTATTAATAGACATAGGTCTGGTAATATGTTAGCACTGAATGGAATTTGGACTGTGTGTGTGTGTGTGTGTGCAAACATGCATGCCCACAATACTTCAGGGAGAGGGATATGAAGGATCAGTGCTGGGAACACTGTTCTTTTACAGTAATATAGTAACTTAGAAGTTAAGTCTACCAAATGAAGGATCAACTAATCAAAAGTTGTGAAACTTCACTTCAGGTCTGCAATCTCATTACTTTTAATGAAATCTTCACTTCAATTTTTCTTCCTGTTTTCCACATTTGTAGATAAGCTTAGCACCTTTCTTATCAAAGACTTTCTGAAGTAAGCATAGGAAAAGGGCAGTTCATTCTTGTTACACTGTATCCAATTTGTGCAGAAAGCTGTTTGAAGTCTATATGTATCTCTCTCACATTTGAAAAATACCAGTTTGGGGAAGTAATATAGCCAAAAAAAAATCCACATTGTTAGACAAACTAATTTAACCAGTCCGGCAAATGCAGTTTCTTGGGACAAACTTTCCCTGTGTAGATTATCAAGGATCTTGATAGTAAATTAAATCAGCAAAGCAGATGTTAATAAAACCTTTGCGTTTGAAAGAGAAAGAGAAGCATCAACATTAATGAACTCTCCATTGTTAGAAGTCAGGGTTTTTTTCCCAAAGCTTCCCATGCCCCGGACCAGTGTAATATTCTAGGGCAGAAGAAGTGACACAGCTATAGTATCAGTACACCCTCATGCAATTGATATAATTTACAAACTCAGTGAGCTTGCTCTTGTATCCTGCATTCAAGGTCATTAGCTATAAATGTAAAATGCTATCAAACAACCACTCTAGGCCAACAAGAGAAGCTGAAGTTAATTTTTATAATATTTCTTTAATTATGACTCCATGGCCAGGGCTGCCAAATTGCATGACTCCAGAGGGGACAATTCATAGGGAATTGTAGTCTACATGAAATGCAATCCCAAGAATAAATGTAACTGCTGCATGTAGCCCTCTAGAGTTTTGCAATGTGGTGGTCCTGCCATGAGTGCATAAACATCAATTGAATAGATGCTCCATTTGGTTCACGTTTTTTGGTTTTGGTGATAACACTTTCAAAAGCATTAATACTTGGGGTGCCTAGGTGGCTCAGTTAGTTAAGCTTCCAACTTTTGATTTTGGCTCAGGTCATGATATCTGGGTCATGGGCTCAAGCCCCACATGGGGCTCTGTGCTCAGCCAAAGTCTGCTTGAGATTCTATCTCTCCCTCTCCCCCTCCCTCTGCTCACTCTCTAAATAAATAAATAATAAAATCTTTTTTAAAAAGACATTAACACTTTTTTTTTAGGTTACCCCTACTGTTCCTTCTAGATCAGTTGTGTTGCCAGTCTCCCTAGAAGCCATTAGGAAATAACACCAGAGATCTGCTTCTATCAGTGAGGAGTAATTATTTAAGAACTGTATGTAAAAAGAGTCTTTAAAGAGTTAATCTATAATTTCTTTTTACCCCTTATTCACTGGTAGAATCAGTTCTACCATATTGTACAGAAGAAAAGATTCTGAAACAATTTCAATTTTACCTATTATCAAAATTATTCATAAATTGAGGTTAAGAAAGTTTAATAAGTAATCTGGATCAAGTAACTGCATCCATTTATTACCACATGACTGCATGTTTTCACATCAAACTAAGTCAAATGTGACAGATTGGTGAAGATGGACAAGCCCAGGTGAAAATGGACTTAGGGTGTATATAACTGAAAAGAAAATAAATTGGGTTTCTCACACCCACAGTGCTATAAATCATGAAGGAAAATCCAAAAACAGTCTGTGAGTTAGTTTTTCCCTTGTTTCTGGAAACTTGGAAAATCAAGTATTGTTTTTCTAGTTCATTTGGATTTTCTTATATTTTGAGAAAGTATGTAAGTCCTTCCAGCAGACACATAAAAATGCAGCTGTATAATCTTTTATTTATTTTGTGGGTACCACATTCCTAATTTTCCATTAGGTATCAGCAGGAGCAGTCTAGCCTTAGTTATAAGTGACAATGAATAAAATAACCACTGTTAACTGTTACTACATTAGGAAATTCTTGCTCGCTTTCCAGAGATAGGTAAAGGTGGGGTTTGAGCTCCCTGACTTTATAAATGTTTATTCTGTCTCTCTCCAAACCTTAGTTGGCTAGGCTTCCTTGATCCTTTGACAAATCTCTTAGATTTCTTTTTTTTTTTCTCTTATTGAATAAAAATGAGAAAGAGAAATTCCTTCCTATGAGAGCACCTTTGCTATTGAGTGGGACCAGAGGCCATGTATTTGTGTGGAAAATACTTTATGGACAAAAAGTTTTCTAAAGGAAGGTCTTTTCCATTCAGGACTTGGCAGATGGACAAGAGTAAATAAAATGTTTGGATAGTTCCAGAACAGAAAATTGGTAATACTTTATTGCAGTGTGAATTCAAAAAATGCTTGTTAAGGAAATCAGGAGGAATTAGCCAAAGTGACCAATTCCAACCTATACTGTTTGTTGCAATGGACCTTGAAGAATCCTGAGACACATTTAACATGTGGTTGGAAAAAACACATACAATGGATCAAACTTACATCCTCTTTAAAAAATGGATCTACCCAACAGAGTTTTCCAACTGACAATCAATTGATATTTGTACTAAACTGTGAGCTCATATAATTTGCCCTATTACTGTGCAAACACCATAAAAAATGGAGGGACATATTCACAAACCTTACAGAAGGTGTTTTAGGCAATCTGTTTAAATGTATTAAGCATGGATAAACTCCATTTTGTGGGACTGTACTTATGTCCTCATGATATCTGAGTATTTTATAATAGCAACTACATATGAATGACCTCTCTTGTGTTCTGAGATCTTTTTATTGGTTGTTTCTTAATCAACAAGACTTGGGAGCACCGTTTCCCTAAACTTAGATTCTTCTTAACCCCCCTTCCCAAGGGACTAACATCAGTGACCTCTACCCCGGGTCACGTTGATCAAGGCAATAGCTTTCCTTTAGTGTGGGCCCCAGGAAATTACAGGTTAATCTTAATGAGGCTTTTCTTTGATTTCTGGCTGCTTAATCCTTCTTATGCAGATCCAGAGATTACTGTCTTGGCCCAGGTTTCCTCTAACAACTTGACAAAACTGTGATTGTGAACAGAGAAATCCCCACCACTTACTTAAAAGAGGTTTCACTGTTAATGTGAACTCCACAATCTTTAAATAAAAATAAGTATAAAGTGCTTGCTGGATGCAGGGAGAGGGGAGAGGAAGTAAGGAGCATTTATGGAGGCATTCAAAATTGTAAATCCAAATTTGGTGGCAATATTATTTGAAAAGGGTATTTGAACAAGAAAGGCAATGGGATGCCAGTATGTCTATCTCTTTAGTTTAATTCTATTTCACTTACAAAAACCGTCCCTACAAGAAATATTGAAAGGGGTCCTCTAAGCAAAGAGAGAACCAAAAAGTAACAGAGATGACAAAGGAACAGAGACAATATACAGTAACAGTCACCTTACAGGCAATACAATGGCACTAAATTCATATCTTTCAATAGTTACCCTGAATGTAAATGGG